CACAAAAACCCACATCCACTAAATATCCTCCTCACCAATGGCCGCTTCCCAGTCTCCATCGACCTCGCACGTCAACTTCGTCGTCTCGGCCACATCATCTTCGTTGTCGACCCCATGCACTACCATGTCTGTCGTTTTTCTCGAGCTGTTAAAGGATCCACCTGGGTACCAACTCCACACATTGACGCCGCCGGTTTCATCGCCGCGGTAAAGAAAGTCATCCGCCAAAACGACATCGACCTTATAATTCCCATGCACGAAGAAATCTTCTACCTGGCAGAATCGAAAGACCCAGCAATTATCGAGAAGCTTTTAGCACCACCATGGGAAACCTTGCTGCGGTTACATAACAAATGGACCTTCTCTGAATTTCTAGGAGAAATCGGGTTAGATGCACCTCGAGCAAGGTCATGCAAGAGCAAAGAAGACATCGCAGCCATCCTTCAAGAACCAGGAGAATGGGCCATTAAACCCGTTTTCGGACGAGCCGCAAGCAACGTCTACCATTTATCCCAACACGATTCCGTCCCCTCGAAATGCGACGTAAGTGAGGAAAATCACTACATAGCCCAAGAATGGATCACAGGACAAAGATACTGCAGCTACATGGTTATCCGATCAGGACGAGTCCAAGCATTTTCTCTATATCCCGTTTGGGAGACTATAGATGGAAGTTCCTGTGTGTATTTCCGGTCCATCGCACATCCGAAGATCGAAGAATACGTTACGAAACTCGCTGCCGCTTTACCGGATGTTGGAGCTCAATTGGCTTTCGATTTTATCGAGACGGATAATAGATTAGTGGCTATTGAATGTAATCCTCGTGCTACTTCCGGGATTCATCTTTTTTCGGGTACTACGTTGCTTGCTCAGGCTTTGGTTTCAGGACCGCCGGCTCCTCCGTTACCGAATAATTATAGCACCTTCACGGTGGTACCACCACAGGGTGTTTCCCGTCAATTGGCCCCGGGAATGATGATGTGGAAGAAAAGTGAAAGAGGCCCAAAGGCTTATTTGAGGCATATGAAACGGTTGTGTGGCAGTAAAGATGTGGTGTTCAGTAAACATGATCTGATGCCAAGTCTGATGCAGCCGTTTCTTTTGACGAGTTATTATGAGATTTGTAGGGAGAGAAAGCTTAGTTTGCCGGATATGTTTCAGTGGGATTTGCTTTGGGAACCGAAGACGAGTTTGGGGGGTGTTGAGAAGTCCATAGCGTTGATGGAGGAGATGACCAAAACGAGAAGGAACGAAGATGAAAAGAGAAGGGATGAGGAGGATACCAGGAGGGATTCTGCGGTGGAGAGTGGTCACGGTAGTGAGGAGACTGGGTTGGTTGGCGTTTAAGAGTTTGGATTGGTGATTGGTATTTAATATGGGGGATAAAGGTTGGACTGTGCTTAATACCATTTTCCTTTGTTTACAGTTTGTATTATTAGCGATGAGCGTTTGTTTTTCCTTCTTACGACTTACTATCATGATTCTGTACATACTGACGATTTTCCTTTCACGATTCACGAATAACGACTTACGAACATAGACGTATAGTTATCATTAATTCATCATTTATTCGTCTATCATTCTAACAGGTATATTACTTCCTCCCTCCTACGTATACTGTTCCGCAGAAAATCGAAAGTACTTATGCGCTGCATCTGCACTCAAGGTTTAGTTATGCTCAAGGCTTGTGGGTATCTTAAAATTACAATTTTGCAGTCTCCTCATCGTCCGCAAGTTTGACGACCAACTTTCCAAACTGCCTTCCCTTCTCCATATCCTCCCAGAGCCCCTCAAGATCATTAACATCCATACCAGTAATGACTCTGCTGATAACCGGTCTAATGCCATGCTGAGCAACAAACTCAACCATATCAGTGAACTCCTTTCGACTTCCCATGGTACTTCCAACGAGATCGACGTTGCGCAAGACAGCTGCCATCGAGAAGGGCAAAGAAGGTCCAAGGGTCATGCCGTAGCTGACGATTCTTCCACCATCCCTGATAACACGGGACATTCTGGTGACGATATCACCACCGGCACCATCAATCACTGTATCAATCTTTCCCCCTGCCATTGCAGCCAACTCCTTCTCCCATGTAGCACTGGTGTACAAAACACCACCCTCAGCACCAAGTTTTTTCGCCCTCTCAATCTTCTCTGGATTACTCGAGGTAACGAAAACCCGCGCACCCTTCCGAACAGCAAATAACAACGCCATCAAAGCCACACCTCCTCCAATTCCTGTAATCAACACAATATCCCCCTTCTCTACCTGTCCCTTTGTCATAGTAGCCCTCCACGCTGTTAACCCACACAAGGGCAACGCCGCAGCCTCTTCGGCTGACAAATGCGATGGTGCCTCTACTAACTCATCCTCATCGAAAACTGCATACTCCTGTAGCGTTCCATTTGGATAGTGCTTAGTGCCTCCCAGAATTGCAAACGCGTTCTCAGGTCCACGGGGATCCTTCAACCATCCCTTCGCTGGGTTCACCAAGACACGCTTCTTATAGAATCTGCTAGTAGGGGTGGTGACAATTCCGTAGCCATCAGCGAGCAAGGGGATCGAAGGAGCGGTTCCGGGGTAGAGTCCACGACGCTGAAAAAGGTCGCGGTGGTTTAAGGAAGCAGCGAGGATACGGAGTTGGACCTGGCCGGGGGAGGGCTCGGGAGTCGGGAGGTTGACGGGTTGAAGCCTGGGTAGGTAGATAGGTTAGTATAGTGCCGGGATATACATAGACACGCGTCCAGCAAAACAGCGAAAAGAAAGCTTACGGGTAAAAAATCTCTCCGGGTTTCGCGGGGGGGACGGGCTGGAGGACGACGGCTTTCATGGTGGCGATGCTGTGTGAATTGAGGTGTGAAGCCTACCAAAGAGCTTACTTGGCTGGTATATCAGTGCGGAGATGCTTTTCTTCCAGGTCATCGAGTCTAGACTGGTGGGGAGTGTGGGGTAAAACTGCGGGGATCGAGGGGCCCGAGGGCCGCGGGTACTTCGGATATGGTTGCGGAAGATGCCATCTTGGAATCGTGGGGGGGGGGGGGGGGGGGTGAGAGCTTGGTTGGGACTCGGTGGATGAGCTTCGGACATGCAGCTCTAAACACCGTGGAGACGATCATGTGCTGAGTCAGCGACAAACCGCAGGAACACATCGAAGCGCACCGCCTTCGAATTGGCACTGTGAGTAAAACAGTTATCCTGCGTTGAATTACAGTTTATCATCCCAAAATGCCTCAGATATCCATTCTCGAGAGGCTTCAGCTGATATCGGACCAAGCTTACAGAATATTGAACAGACCCATGCCACAGGCACCTTTCAATCTCGGCATCCCAATCCATTTCAGAATCAGAATCCGCCGTTAAAATATCGACATAAACTTTTCATTCTTCAGACTCGAATCTCAGCTCGCAAACCCGGCTCATAAAACAATTCCTACGGTTGAGGTTGCCATGCGCATTCGAGTACGAGTCCATGAAGCCGAAGATCACAGTAGCGCTCGCTTGACGCACAAGCCACATCAGCCAGCATCAAAAAGAGATGCATCGCTCACCGGCCATCTCACGCAACATCAGCCATCAGCAAAAAGATAGGCCCGAATCCGGGTTTGAACCGGAGACCTCCTGCACTTAAGTAAACCCAAAGCAGGAATCATACCACTAGACCATTCGGGCTTGAAGATAAAGTTATTCAATGTAATAAGTACCGCACAGGTATGGCAGAACCTTGAGGCGCGGATGCATTATTCAATCGTCTTTCAGGGAGATATAAGAGACCATGGCGAATGAAAAGCATAGAATGATCTATTAATCCCAATATTTAACTGGCTCTTGACACAGAAGTTGGATGATATAAAGACGCCGTGGAGGTAGCAGAGAGTAGCTAGGAGTATGAGCATAGAAGCTTATAATGCCAAATTCAGTTGAGTTTAATACACCAACCGGTGAACAAACCGATTCTGACCATTTCACTGTAGTAATGAAGTTTTCATGGCAAGGTCTTTGACGACAAAATGCTATCCTCCATGCCATATCTGTTATGCTTTAAAGTGTCATCTACTCGTCTCACACACATGTCGCTGAAAGCAATTTTGCCTTGGTAAGATTCTCATCTAGTGGTTGTTTTCACTTCTAGTTAAAGAATTACTCTCTGCAATAAAAGATTTCACGCTTACGCTCATCCAATACAGCATCTTTCAGCATTGTTGATGCCTTTCGCTGTCTATTGACAACCGGCAGGAACCAATAGATCCATCAACTCCATCGATAATCGCTGAATATTCCGCAATCATATTTTATCGTATTCAATGACATACCGTGGAATATATTTGCAAGAATACTTTGGGACCCAGGGGCGCAGTATGAATTGAAGATTGTTCTTAAATACAGGTGGGCTTATTACAGTGATTTTGAAAGATAACGGTCTAAAAGAGGTTCGGTCCATTAGACGGCTCTTCTGTCTTAATGTACTGGACTTTGGAGGGTTCGAATACCATTCTCAGGAACCGAAGCAGATCTCATGTGATGGTGGATGCAAACACTCGAATTGGCGAAGAATATTCTTGCCATCTGACTTCATACGGTCATTCAACACATGTCGTATCCGAGACAGAGCACGACATGCCGTCTGTATTAGCATAACTGTAACTAATAGACTAACAGAAAATAGAAAACAGAAAACAGAAAAAATAACCGTAGTCAGCCTACTGATCATATGGGGTACAATTCCGCATATTTACCTGCCAAACTTATTCCGGTTTCTGCCTTCAACTGCCCTCTCTGTACATCAAGATCAAGATCACAACACCTTACTCCACAGCTACTAGGCTTTACAGCGTCTCGACTATAATCCTCTTCATTCAATCACCGAAAACCGAGGTTTTCAAAATATGGCGTGTCCCGAAAATTCGGCAGAGTTCCTGCCCTCATAGCATTTGCGTAGGAAGGCAGCACCGTTGTACTGTAACTATACTTCTATACAACACTCAAAGTCGATCAACCAGCTCGGATGGTCTAGTGGTATGATTCTCGCTTAGGGTCGCTCCTTAAGTACCAATTGGTTTGCGAGAGGTCCCAGGTTCAAATCCTGGTTCGAGCCATTCTTTTTGTTGAGGGCCCGAGCGTTGGGAGGGTTGTTTTGCGATGTCTTTGAAGCGCGGATGATGAATTTTTAGTCTACATATGAGTGGAATGTTGAACTGACATGGCATGGCGTTGACAGCGAAGGAATATTCGCGAGACTTGCTTCCAGACATTCTTCCTCCGAGACTGAAGGAATTTTTATGTATCGGTCCATTGAGCGTGGTTTCTTTACGACCTATCTCATAGAGGGCTTGATTAATCGTGATTCTGAGGCTGATCAATATTGGCATTGTGTTTGTTTCTTCCAAGACTCGTTCACTAGGTATCAATTGCCTACTATGATTTTCATGGATTCTCGCAGCACCAATTTTGAATGTAGTCTTTCCGAGTCAGGGGGTATGCATAGGGTGAGTATTGAGATGCATATACAATAGAAAACCACAGCCTACTCGACAGTTCGTATCCAAGGTGTAAGCCAAATCATTCACAATTGCAAATAAAGCGGTCCAATTCTTCCTCTGTCCACGCCGCAGCCTGGAATAAATGAAAAATCGCCTGTCAGACCTCCATCACCACCCACCCTCAGTTCCTCCGTTTTCACAGAATATGGAACCTCAGGTCGAGATCATCAGCACCCATCCCGAAGGACCGGCAGTAATAGACTTCACTCTGGGGTGGTGAGGATATCGATCATCAACCAGGTTGGAGAATAATCTGTGGCTCTTGTAAAGAGTTCAGATGAGACGATTTACTATAGAAATGATCCTATGAAGTAAAATCGCATAATGAGAAAAGAGGGGTGCGGGGGAACAGCGGCTTTTATGCATATTGGGATGAGGCTCTGCGAGTGCGGCGAAAAAATATTGGCCGTAGGCACTAACTCAGTGCTGGATAGCGTAGAAAGTTTGAATACGCTAATAGATTAAGCTTGAGCTAGGGCGATTTAGAGGTTTAGCCTTCTCACAACGTCCGCGACGCGCGACACCAGAAAAAGATCGCAACGCGACTCCCTAGGTTAGACCCTAATTGTATGACATGACTGCAAAAATCGATAAAGTGATGAGTTTTTGGTTATTTCTAACTCGTGGACCAGGTAAAATTCACTCTACACATTTAATACGGCACTGGTTCCAATAACAGCTGCCGTGCTGCCGATTATATAATGCTTTCACACGTGGCCGACAGGTGAATATCGCTGATCACAATATACCTGAGCTATATTGTCTCGCATATTGTGTACATATACATATGTCTTTCTGCGTTTAATATTCACAATGACGTTTGATTTGGCAAAAGAGTGGGTGATCAACGTCCGGCTTATAAGCTGGCTGACGATTTGGGACCGGACCCGTGGATACAGCAGACGCTCAGTGACGGCAGTCCAAACCAATATTTTAATATTCCGCCTCTTCGAGTAAAAATTTGCCAGGCCAATGCCGTTGAACAATAATCTATCTGGAATGTGATTTACCTGCGTTTATTCCATACTCTCACCCGCAGGGCCGCTGGCCCGCAGCAACATATCCAATCCCCGAACGTCAAGATATCTTTCATCTGGTGCAGCGCGGCTGATCCCACTGCATATGGCCGGAATAGGATATTGCTGCGTGTTCGTCGCTGTTTGCAGCTTTGCTCTTCTACAGACAGAGCTTGTGCTTGGCTGATTGCTTTCTGGAAGGTACAGTCCCACGACTGCGCAGCAAATTCCATATCGTCTGATCAGCGGTTGAAAGTTTGTTTCCGCTGTAACGTAGCTGGTTGTAACCACAAGGGGTGTAGAATAAGATCGGAAGAAGAAGAAGGAGCACATTAGAGAGTATTCGCCCTCCCACCACCATCATGGAGAGCAGCGAGGAAGTGAGGACACTGCGGACAGTCCAGGTTGAGAAAATGCGGGAGCTTCTGGGCGTCACTGAGGATAAGTTTAAGGTTTATTGTAAACCCCCCTGACACCCCACCTCCTTCCCACATCCGCAGATAGCTAACATGGTTAGCCGAATGGGCATGGGGACAGGTGAAATGGAGTGTGCAGCAGTCATTAGGAGAAGAGGATTTGTCAGATGTGACAGAAGAGGATGAGGAGGATTTATCAGTTTCAGATGAGGATTTGCCACAGGAATCACCCGCCCAACAAGCGTCTGGCCCGCAAAACAAATCCGTCTTTGGCAAAGCAAATATCAACGCCACATATCCAGCTGTCGCCTCATCCGCTGCCCAGGGAGTTTCTACGGCTGCAGTCATCGAGGCGCAACGAGGACTCATTCAGTTACCACAGAACCAACAGATACAAACTGCATTAGACGCTATTTCCGAGATACAAATTCCTCCTCCACTTGATTGGGTGATTTCTTCAGAAAGTGAGGAATTTCTTGGAGCCGAAATAAACCGAAAAATTGAGGAGCAATGCATGGGGAAGCTTAGCATAAAGACCCGGCGGAACAATAATATGTTTGAGGAGGCTCCCTGGTTCATGCTCGTCGTCTTATTAAATGCGTGCAAAAAATATAATTACAATCCTCGGATTGCGGCACCGCCGTTAGTTAAGGACCAGACAGCTACTGTTATGTGGAATTTGATGAGAATTTCCTCAAAAACGGTCCTGTCTGCTAAAACGGCTTATACCTCTAAAACGCCTCTCTGCCCTAAAACGGTTGTTAAAAATGGTATTGTGTATCAATGCCTCCATGTAAAGATTTCAGACTAATATTTTCAAGCTGCTAAAACAGTATACAGATATTATGGACACGGGGACTTCCCAAACGTTAACGAATTAAAAGAAAAACGAAAAATGGTGAAAATGTTGAAGACATTGCTGAACTATCCATTGGACCTTGAAGATAGATTTTATGTTTGGATCTTGTTTTACACAGCAAACCTCCAGCGAAAGGCGATTAGTAAGGCTAACGAGAATGGTGGATGCATGGCGGATGGTTGAATTAAAATGTAATGTTTGCGCAGTTTATGTTTTGTGTTGTGTGTTTCGTGCTGTGTTTCTTGAACGGCGTGGCAAATCGTTATTTTTGGCGTTCCCATTCATTTGCAATACTAATTCCTCTTTTCCGTTAAGATATAAACTTTTGAGCAAACATGATTGGTTTCTGGCTCCTGCTGTGAATGGTGATATATCCTATTTCTTCTAAAAATTAGCTATTTTTTACCGTTTCTTTCATCTTGGTCCTCTTATACTCTTGCTTTTGGTACCTTCGATGGGCGAGAGAAAACTTACTGCGGTAATCAGCGACCCAGCATCAACAACTGAACTGATTACAATAATCTTACCTTATGCAACCGTAATACTACCACCACGCAAACAATCTCACCCAACATTAATAAGGTCGTCACACTCAGGTCCCGAGCTATATTCAACTTCATAGGATCAGCAGGATTTGCCATTGTTGTTGCATTTAAGAATTTAGAACCATGCAAACGGATCCCTTCATCGTAGATATTCCCATTCTGAAAGTGTAATCATAGCTATAACGGAACGGGGCATAAACCTCAATGTCTATGAAATTTAAACCGAGCCAATCATGAGTTCAACTTTGCTCAGGACTTAGGATGTTGTGAGGCATACGGCCCTTATTGGCAGGAGAAATAGCATTGATGGGATTGGTGGCGATATCGTTGAACCGGAAACGGGCGACTTTATATATTTTGTGGCCCGCAGTCAATCCAGGATGAGTTGTATAAATTTGTGCATTCATAATTTTCTCCGGTTCTTATTTCTGTGTCTTAGCTGTTGTACTTGGGTACAGGGGTATTTCGAGAGCATTAGTAGAATGTTTGCCCTTCCGCCTCCTTCCCTCTAAAGTTTCGGTGTAGAACATTCGATTTCCGTATACAGTTAGCCTGAGTAGGCCTTACGGCATTGTCACGTATAGTAGGCCTGGAATTGTGACAACTTGAATAATAAAAATTACAACCGCAACCGCATTCAATGAAGCTTGAAAAAACCTTAAGAAGAACAACCTGAGAGTGTCAGAAATCGCGTAACAATCTGCGGTGAGAGAATACAAGTACTTTTTATGGAACGTTTCTTATAAATTTTGACGCCGAAAAAAGAATTGACTCCACGTCAAGTGAAAGAATAATGATTATGTTACCGAGGGGTACCTAAGCTCGATTAGAAGTATGGGCTTTTACATAATAGAAAGCTTTAATAAATCCAGATTAATTCGATAAGTCCTGATCTCCGCCGCTGCCCGAGTTTTTATCCACCTATGATATAGTCCGATCATTACCTATCACTCCGACTGCGCTATGTAAGACCCATCACCGACTATTTTTTAGGCGTACGCCCGATTGATGTACTCTCCAAGTACAGCAACCAATAGGAAACTAGAAATTCACAGGTTTTCTCGGAAAAAACGAGGCTTGAAGAACCCCATGACGGCAAATTCAAACCATCTATAGTCATCGAAAAAACTATTTGGTGATTAATGGAAGGCAGTTATAAGTGGACAAAATTTAGGCGCAGGTGATACAACAGTGCGCCGGGCATACCCCTGTACCGGAATACGGCTGCAGTATGTATCGGCAAAGGGAAGCTCAGTATTGAATCCGCAAATCTTTGATGAATCGGCTTCTTCCTATCATACATATGGTTGACCAACAAAGCCACGATGCATGCGTCCTGTTCCATTTTTGGAGATCAAATCATATTTGTTCGACCATACGCTGACCGAGGCCCTAAAGTCCTATGCAGAATAAGGGCAATTCCTCTGTATTACCGCACCCCAATTTAGAACCTACGATGGTCTAAATAAGCTGCTCCTGAGTTTAGCAAAGCTGATCGATGATTCACGAAGTTATTCAGCTTTTCGTTTAGCTGGCGTGCTGACGTGGTTTCCAAATGTAGTTTGATGCCTACGCACCCCAGTAGCCAGGTCGAGGCCCAAGATTCTCCCAAGGTCCTTCTAAGTTCTGATCTCACGTGTATTCAGCGTCACAGTGGAATCCAGTGAAAAATGACCACAACGTTATTTTTAGCCGGCAGACCAATTGAGATCTTCGCTT